CATCCATCCATCCATCCATCCATCCATCCATCCATCCATCCATCCATCCATCCATCCATCTACCTGTACATTACTGAGAAGACTGTTTTAGTAAAACTGGCTTCAACAGTATTGTTCTTATCCCAGCTATTTATCTTTATTTGTTTGTTTTTTTGTGCTTTTTTTTTGCCATCTAGCCAATATATAGCCATTGTTTGGCTAAAGGCCCTTTAGGACGGGTGTGTTCAATGATGCTAACGAGGTGCAGGCTGCATGTCCGATGCAGGCCTGTACTGGTCTCCAATAACTGTTGTGTGTGATCCTGGTATTACTCATATTGCTGTGACATAAATAGTTTAAACAGTTAATCCTTCAGGGTAGATTTTCTGCAATCTGGCAAAGAATATGATCAGTGTATGTAAATCACAACCTGCATAAAAAGCTGAAGTAGTAGTGAAATCCACAATGGAGATTGACATCTTCAGAAAATAACAGTAAATTCTCTGAAGCAAGGAATACACACCAGAATGAGTGTATGTACAAGTTTGTCCCAGGAGGAGCCACACACTGCATGTCCGGACTTCTCTCCGGGGATAAAACAAGCCTCTGTCCTGCCTGTTCAGTCACGCCACATTCTCCTCTACAGTCTCTGGAGGTCCAAAGCTCCAGGGTAAGATCATCATCAAATCATCTGTTTGTTTTTGTGAACCTAAGATGCCTACTGAGATTAATTGTATTGATGTGAGCAGGTCAGAACCAGAGAATGTAGATTTGAATCACACTACCTAATGAACCAATGAAGATATTGTTTTATTCTTTTCCTTTGATCAGTGATACCAGATGATTTAATACCCGTTTAAAGCTGCTGTTTTGTTTGTAGCGTCGGAGTTGAGGCACGGCATCTACAGAACAGATCTTGAATTATTCCAGTCTGAAAATATGCAGCCAATAAAATCTTAATATATTAAAAGCACGCTGTTACTTGAAGCAAATAAGTAAAAAGTTAATCAAAGATCATTGTTTAGGATTAAACAGTCTGCTGATTTATGTGTGGTACTGTGTTTGATATTGTGTTTCTATGGAGCTAAACTTTCTCAAAATCAATGGTAATACCATTAAAAAATTCTGAAGATCCTTTAACTTTGTTATTTGACTCTTATTTGTGTTTTTTTTCTACCTTATTTTTAATAAAAGGAAGTTTAAAACCTTTGCAAGGATTTGTAAACCCGCTTCTTAGTTTGAGACTTCAGGAAGTTGATGTGATACAATATATAGGCCCATTAATTCTCTCTTAAATGTTATGTTAAAGTTCAGAGACAGTTTTCACCATCATACATCCTGGTTGTGTTTTTGATTTTTTTTTTTTTTTTTTGGTTTAGTTCTAATAAAGGTTTTTGAACATGTTAAAATCTGGACCTCAGCTTTCCAAAGCAGAGATCAACAGAGGTTGCTTATAAATATAAAACAATGTTTACTTCAGTAAGGGTTTAAACACTAATTAAATGTTAACTTGTATGTGTTTCCTGATAGGCTTATAACATTTGATTGCAAAAATATAAACAAAGAGTCCTTTTATATTGATTCCCCTTATGACTGCTAGTTATTACAGTAGCTCCATTGTTTTACCAGATCTAGATAAAGAAGTTAGGTGGTCCTTAGCTTAACTATTCCCTCAGGACAATCACAGAAAATACGACTGGTTTTTGATTTTGGGCACATAATTTAATGGAATATTATTTTTTCAAATAAAGTTTATCTACCGCCTTGGATTTGTATTATGAATTATTTTTACCACATTCCAGTTGCTCTAAATTAGTTTAAAGCTAGTTTGACTTAATTCCAATTTCTTTAAGATAAACTTTGGTTCTCAAACAAAACAGCCGGATTGGGATATACTTCCTTCATTTTCTTTATTATGGTTTTCAATAATTTTAAGTTTGTCTTCGTTGTACACAGAGTAGCTTAGCTCAGTTGAGTTTCACTAGTTTGGTGAAGAGTTTTTGAGTGAAATAGGTTTGCACTGGAACTGAACTATCTTTGTTGATTGTTTCTAATATTTTGAATGGAAGTGGTTATATCTGTTTGATCATGATTTCTACTCGACTCACACTTTCCTTTGTTCTTCTAAGACACAGAACACCATATGGCAGTCTGGCAGTTATTTGATGGCCTAGTGGTTAGAGCTGTGTGCTTGTGCTCTGAGAAGGCTGCAAGTACCCGGTTTGATCCCCACAGCCTGCAGTCTGGGTCCCAAAAAACAAATAAAGTTTTTAAGGTGATGAGAAAAATGCCTACTATAACTATCTTCATCTATATAAACTGCGTTTACCACAATTTCTAGCAACAAACTATTTCGCACCAAGGCAGGCTTCAAGTTATCTCTCAGAGTTTAGTGAATTTCTGCATGATACCATGTCAGGAAGCTTGGTAACAAAAAGCCCTCTTGTGAAATTTCTACACTTAACTATTAGTATTTATTATCCAAGGGAGGTCTTCCAGGGACAACATCAGCAACAAAGCATGTAATAAATAGCAGCCGGAGATGCACAGAGTTAACCAACTTTCTACAGAGACATTAGCTGCAAACTTCAAAACATAATATGGTCTTCGCATTACTTAATAAATGTGAACAGATATCTTTTGCATAATGTTTTCTATGGCCAGCCAACTCCAGTAAAGCTTTACATCAACAATAGCAATGCAAAGTGTCAGATGCAGCGGGCAGTATTGCAATTTATCACTTGACTATAGAGCAGACAAGTGATCTGACTGGCAATCCAATAAAATTGTGAGATACACAGGGAATTGAAAATGCCACCTTTCTGGACGTTTGGTGGAGGGAGAATTAGGGTTTGAAGCTGTATTTCAAGGATTTAGTTCTGGTTTCCTACTTCCAGTGAAAGACGCTGAATGCTTCAGTGTACTAACACATTTTGAACAAGGTCAAATTTCAGGGATGGTTCCCTATTTCTCCAAAATTACTGTTATGTTATAACTTTACTTCCAACATCCACCTGGGGGGGATGTTAAATATGTTATTTAAACATAATAATAATAATAATTGAACCTTATTGATCTCACATTGGATATCTTTTCCTCTGTATTTAACCCATCCCCTTGGGGAGCAGTGGGCTGCCATTGTGTGTTCACTGTAGCTGTACAAACTGTGAAAACCGATTGTGACCTTAATTAAATCCACATCAGCTGTCTCTCAACACAGCTGGACATGCTTTTAGTTTCAACATAACAATATGACAATAACAGCCATCTGGAGATATTTGCTTTTTTCTGAATCATTAAAACATAACCACCAGCAGTGGGCTCTTGGAAGTAAATGTAATCAGTTCTTGATTTTGTTTTGTTTCTCTTCTTAATCCTGCCCTTAAAATCAGGATAACTTCTAACAAGGACACTGTCATTAACATTTTTGTTTTATTGTTAGCAGGGAATCTTTAATTAAAAGTTAAACAATTTGATAATTATTGCTTAAGATTTGTGGTAATGATGTCGTAATTTCTGGCTCCATAAACGCTTCTTATCGCAAATTAAACTGATGTTGTCAGCACATTTCTTATGCTCTTAAATCAAACTGCTGCTGTAGTCTCTATATTTGTTAATTAAGCCTAATTCAATTATTTAAATTGTTTAACTGGTTTTGTGTTTAACTTCAATCGATTGGCTCTTCTGCATCAACCCCTGTCTAAAATAAAAAAATCAATGCTAATCATCTTCTTTATTGTTGTCTCCTTCCTCTTCTTTCTCACATAATTTGAATCAAAATAACGTGTGGTAGTTGTTTTATAATTAGAAATACATATTGACAATATTTATAAAATATATGTTATTGTACTAGAATACTTGTAAAGTATAAGTTTATAGGGGATATTTACCCTGAAATGAAAGATCCCTGCATAATTATCAGCCAGGCTTTGTTTGGGGGGCACCACCTTCACAAAAAGGTTGGGATGGACAGTGAGTGAGGAGAGGGCAGCCAGCAGCCAGCAGTTACCTGGGGAATAAGACAAGCACAAAATTTTAGTACAAGGTAATAATGAAGATTGAGGATGACCTCATGCTTTTATTTTTTTTAGGCTTTGAACCTCGTTTTCTAATCATAGCGCACACCCACAGAAAGGAAAGCCCCATTTCCCCTTAACAGTAAACATCTGTTCTGTTGTCTGTCTCCACGGATGTTGCTGAAACTGTCAGCATCAGCATAAATCCTGGAAAGCATGTCCCCATTTTGCAAGTTTTAAAAGAAACCACATGGTTGAAAAAACAGTGTTAACTTATCTGGGGAGCTCTGAGATATTTATGTATGGCTAGAGACAAAACCCTTCAGAAACCATCTAGAAACCCCATGACAGGGAGATGATTTGTTATTGTGCAGATTTTTGTTTTTTTGTTTTACTTAATTGTTAATAAAGGCAGTCTGCAAAATATATGGCTAATAAAACAGTGGGCGACAATGGACTGGTCTCTCCTGCTGTGCCTACAGGAACTGGGACCCAATTTAAGACACACTGCATGTTCCCAAGCTGTTGGCCTGTTTTAAACGGAAATATGTGCATTTAAATTCTCCATTAAAAAAAGCTTGTAAGAAACTGTTTGAAGTACAGCTGAAATAATTCATTACATTAATTTTCATTAACAAATTATTAAAATAATGTTCAACTAATTTTGTAATCAATTTATTGATAACTTAAGTACAGAGATTCTAAACATGATGTTAGCTGGAAAAGCATTCCAATCAGAGCAATAATTATACAAAAAATGTAAAAATATACAAACATTTGCCATTTTTTTGATAGAAAAAAAAAAACATTTTTTGTCCTTGAATATATAGGTATAGGTCTGGCTTAACCTGGTTTAATTCTGTATAACATCCTCTTTAAGGCATCTTTCGTTATTTGAATATAAATCAGTTTCCAAAATAATCATTAGTTTTATCCCTTGTTTGAACAGAAACTTTCACTAGATAAATATATCAACACTATTTTTATTTGATGCACTCACCCAGTTGACCCTGACAGATATCTGTTGTCCCAGTGGTTCCCTCCACAAACACAGCATCTGAACTGATTTCCTTAAGACAACAGAAAACAGCAAGGTTAAAACTGCAATAATATTTTGTGGACAAAAAAGTGTTTTATTAAAAATATTGGAGATTGCAAATTCTGGAAAACTTAAATAACATATGTGGCCATCTAGAAATTGAAGCAAAATATTCAATATGTACAAAGATTATTGACAATTCTTAAAGAATACGTTTATTTATTGCTATCAAACCTTGGGTCTCTTCCATTGGATTTCCTTTCCTGGATTTGGATCTGCAGGCATCCCAATGGACTTCTGCTCGGCAGGGAAAGTGGGATCTGAAAACAGCTCCCCGTCTTTCAGACTCTCCTGCAGCAGAGCGTCGAAGTCCTGGTTTAGAAACTTCACTGGATTATCAATGGAGCCCAGAGGGGCCAGCTTTTCAGAAGCCATATTATCAGCAGATGAAGTAGACACACAACTGTGATAGACACAATATGAATGCAGCTGGGGTTTAAATAGAAGCACACACCCACTAGATCCAACAGAAAAGGAGGATCTAAGTAGCGCCTCCCTTGCTTGGTCCAGGCGGGCAAGGAATGCAGAGCCCCAGGGGCGCATTGCCAATAGAGACTTTGATCTTGCTAATTTATCATCCATCAGCAGCAGTCTTACCTGACTTGACAGGAACAGGAGTGTAAAAACAGTGATCCTGCAGCTGGACAGTTGCACAGTCCCCCCCGCACTTCCTGTGGTAATTGGTATTTCTGTGAATTATCATTTCCAGGTACATGCATTTCAGGGCTTTGCTGTGAGATTATCCACCTCCAGAAGTTTTTCATTACAGGACACAAAAATGCTAAATGTTGCAACAACTAAAGTAAAAGAAAAGCATGGAAAGTAATAACGGTCTGATGGACCTCAACAGCCATCCATCTAATGCTAAAAAAGTACAAATTTAACCTGGGCAGATGCACCCAATTAGCTGAGCCGATGTTAATTGGTCAAATGGATTTTCAGAGCGTCTGCAGTGATTACTGATCTTTTCTAACATCTTCCTTCAGTTACATTTGAGCTTAATAACATTAGCGGGAGGAACTCTGATTTACTGTTTGTTGAAAGAGACTATTTATTTTATTGGCCCATTACAACTCCAGCAGAAATATACAAGAAGATTCATTGAAAAAAAAACAAAAAAACAGCAGGGGACGCTGGAAGAGAAATGAGAAGATTAGATCCACATTGGCGAAGATTTTAAATCATTCAAGATATAGCAGCTACAAAAAAAAAAAAACAATTAGATGTTATGTTCATCATTTCTTCATAACATGCATTAGATTCTAACCATATGTAATTGCTTTATTGATTGTCAGCATAAAAGCATAGGAGGCTTTAACTAGAATTCTGTTTTGGGGTCAAACGAGACTTGGGATTATCAGCAACAAACACTCAGGAGGTTTTGTGGTAAGTCGAAAAGAACGTATGTCTACTGTTAAGTATTAGGATGGTGCGTGAGCCTGTCTGTGGTTCCAAAGACCATATGGATCTTGGTAAAATGAACGACATGAAGAAGTATTAAAAATACAATGACATTTTGAATGGACTCTACTACAATTTAAAAAAATATCCTTATCAGTTTTAACAGCAGGATGAAGATCAGTGACATGAATTGTTTGCCAGACGAATTATCAAATCTCACAGGTCAATTTCAGTCTCCAAGGAAGATCCAGGACGGTGGATCATTTAGAGGGATTGGGAAAATTATGATCAAAGATTCCTCAGTTTCAGTGGTAGTTCTAGGCAGGGGCCAGCAAGGGCCAGGATCCCTGTAGAGCTGTTCCTGGCCCCCTTTATGGCTCCTAAACTGAGGTCTTGATATCAAATATATTAACATATATTATCAAATATTTATTACAGTTATATGTGCTGGTACATAATTCATAGGTGATTTGGATCTTTTTAATTTATTTTTAATGTTTTTTTTTTTTTACAGTTTTATTTCAACAATAGTGTACAATTTAAAGTATGGCACTTTTAGCATCAGTGATGTTGAGGTAGGATCACAGCTTTAGTGGTGCACTGATTGCAGTTTTCTGGCTGATAATTGGTGTTTAAATAGCCTGAAATGCTGACCAGTCAGAGAGGAGTTTGTACGAAAGTGGGGACTCATCCATGTTTTATTGGCTGACAGCTCGCATCATTTTTGGAGCAGTCCCTGAAGAAAATTGATATCAGGAGATTTTTATTTTTTATTTTTATTTTTTGAAGAAAGATGAAGATTCTAGCTGGCTGCAGCTGAGTATTTTGGAAAGCAAGGAGGGAATTCTGCAGTCATGGTGGCTAGTAGTGGGTTGCAAGTTTGTTGAGAACAGTACAATCTGAACCCATATCGATATCTAAGAGAGAAATAGGACTAACCACTGAATAACAGGCCAAATTCTATCACCTATAATTGAAGGTGTTGCTGGCAGCACCAATGTTGATATTTCTCTCTAGGATGGAACAGACTAGATGAAGCTATGATGAGAAAAATCAGAGTGAGAATAGTCAGAGGATGAAATAACAAATACTGCAGAATGAAAGAATAGAGAAAGAAAAAACTATATTTCAAAATGTTCTCTGTGTCCTCCAGCAGCCTAAGCCTATAGAAGCCTAACTATAGAGATATTTCAGGATAACCTGAACCACTCTTAATTTAAATGTTATCAAAAAGAAGAGTTTTAAGCCATCCTTAAAAATAGACAAGGTGTGTGCCTCATGAACTAAAATTGACAGATGTTCCACAGGAGAGGAGCCTGATAACTAAAAGTTTGCCGCCCTCTCAGAAATTCTCTCAACCACTAGCTTACCTGGTACTATTAGAGTAGAGTAGTCTGTCAGGAACATCAGATCTGGTGGGTTATTTCAGGCTTTATATGTGAGAAGTAGTATTTTAAAATATATCCTGGATTTTACAAGAAGTCAGTGAAGTCCTAAGATAGGGAAATATGATCTTTCTTTTAAATTTGATCAAAACTCTGGCTGTAGCCTTTTGGATCAATTGAAGGCTTTTAATTGCAGTTTCTGGAATTCCTAATAGTAAAGAATTACGACAGTACAGCCTTGAAGTAACAAATGTTTGGACTAGTTTCTCAGGATCACTCCTGGACAGGGTATTTGAATTTTTTTTTTTACAACATTCTGGAGACAAAAGAAGGAAATTCTACAAAAGAATTAGATTTAATTGGAATGCTTGACCTGCTATGTTTTTTTTTTTTTTCAAATTTTCATAGGCGAAATTTATTGAAGTCTAACCTTTGGTTAGCATCTTTTGTATTTCTTAACTATGTTTTTGAGTCAATTTCCCCCAGTAAATGACTATAGAACACTAATCATGTTGCAAAAAGTTCTCTTTTATGATAACCTTTGATGAAAATCTATTATAAGAAAAGAACTCTAATGCCATGTCCTGTTCACAGATGACCAAATGAAGACAGGGAATGAGAAGAGGATATCATAAGACATCGGCATAAGGAGAGATGTGGAGGAGATGGTAATGGACCACAACAAACAGGTTCCTAGCTGAAGTCAGTGATTCAGGGACTGCAGGTTAGGCTTGTCAAAGAATATTGATACACTGAAAACAATCAATTGAATCTGTATCTAAAAGTGTTGTTTGCATATTTTTGTAATTGTTGATTTGAGATTTGTAAAATATTTATACTCCTTAAAATAATTATTCCTCTTAGAACCATAACATATTGTTAAATTTTTATATTTTGGTGATTTATTTAGCATTTATTTTCACACTTATCATCTGGGATTCCATTTAAAGCATGTTCAATGGTGAGATTGAAAATGTATTATTTTATACTTTGTTGGGTTTTTTTGCCCCCCACTGTATCGAAAATGGCATTGGAAAGGAGACTTTGAGTCAACTTGGTTTTTATCATTAAAATGTTGAAATAATCTATAACTGTCATGCAGCATGTATTCATAGATTATATGGCAAACCAAACCAGCACTGGTTACAATTACCACTATAGGTATCAGGAACAGTATAAAAATCGATGATTAATGCATTTCAATCTGAAAAACTCACACCAAAATCAAAAGAGAATTTTTATTGATACAATTACTTAATAACATTAATGCTGAGTTATGCATCAGCAGGAGTATAACAATAGGGTTGTTTCCCCCCAGGCCTGAAACTGGTGTTGGACTTCTGGTTGGCCAGGCGATGTGCTGGAGCTGCATTGTGGGATCCAGTAGACTGAGCAGACTGAGTTGTGGATTTGGAGACTTTTTAAGATGAACTCTAGATGCTGATTTGGGTTTGTGGAGGTGTGGTACAAAGCCGATTGGCTTGAGTTGGAGGTAAATGAGGGTAAGTAATTCAGTTTCTTCAGTTGGACTTCCACCTAGGCTTCATTTATAATAATATGGATTTTAGAGATATTGTTTGTATTGTCAAGATTATTTTTAAAAAAAGAAATAGCCTACATTATGATGTACATAGTGTAGTATTTTGCTTCAATCCAGCTGCCACAATGCTCGAAAAAGCTTAAACACAAAGCCTTTTGTCCTGGTTAGGTGTCAGCCTCCCGTTGTTTCCAGGCCCAGCAGACATCCACTCTGCTTCTCTGGTAAAAAGTCCTAGCCAATGAGGAACCAAAATTTTGAAAAGTAACATGATTTACTGCAGAAGCAGGTGATAACCAAAGATAAAGTGGTCTGGCGGGTCACAGAGGATCAGTGAACATGCGTGATGTTTGTTGTTATTTCTCAGTTATGCACTTTGAACAACATTAGGCATTAGACTAATCCCTGAAAGCCTTAACTTATTTGTTTCATTTTTGTTTGTTTTTTTTGTCAAAAAGAGACTACGTAAACAAATTAATCCAGTTCCTCTGCATTTGCGGGTAGATCACACCTTTTCAAAAACCGATTCGTCTGCCAGTTCTTTAAAATAAACACTAGGGGGCAGTGTAGTCCACCCACAGCACCGCACCATGTGGCGGGATTCAGTGCATTTAATGGTGACAGGATGGAGCTACTGTAAAGCAGTGCATGTGGACAGCAGGCTACTTCTACTGCAGCTATGGAAAACAGCAATGAAAGTGAGTCTGTCGAACTCACAACCTCAGGATTCAAAGCCCTATGCCCTAACCACTAGACCACTAGTCACCCATGTATATATATATATATATATATATATATATATATATATATATATATATATATATATATAAATGTTCTTCACTCTCCTCTTTCACTTTTACCTCACAAAGCTCTGATCTTTCTCTGTAACCTTTAGTATCTAGGTTAGTGAGATCTTTTGCTGATGTAATTGTTTGATATATGAAGCTCAAGTAAGAATATGAATAACTTATTTTATGCTTGTATAATTTGTGTTTTAACATCACTTATGCAGCTGTTTAATACAAGCCCAGAATTATTAATATTTTGTGTAGATCAGTTCAAATGTGTTATAGTCCCTCCTGTTTCCTGCCTATTTTTTTTAACC